GACCCGCCCTTTCCGAGCAGCCACTGCCCCATCAAACCCTGCCCATCCGGAGGTGCCGCCCAGCTGGAGCTGTGGGGGTGTGACAGCTTCCAGAAGGTGCTGGTGGATCGTCTCCAACACCTGGCCGCTGTTTTGCAAGGAGCCACGGCTCGAGGTGAGGAAAGTGGGATGCTGGGCCCGGAGCAAATAGTGCAGAGGGGTGGTGACATGGCATGCAATGCCTCTACCCCAGGAAAACAACTTCCCGTCCTCAGAGCCCTGAGAGTGGGCAGCTGCAGGAGGGATTTGGGTTGCTACCCTTACCCAGCTGCGTGGGTGAGAGAAGATGTTCCAGAAAACCTGTGACAGGATCCTTGTGGCATGGGGGATGCCAGAACCCGACACTTTGGCAGAGGTGTTTGGCAACCCCAGAGCTGCTTGTGCCCGAGGCACGGGCAGGTGTGGTGATGCTCCTCTCCAAAGGGAGCACCGAGCTGACCTCAGGGCAGGTGTTGTTCAAGAGGCTCTTCCTGGAGAGAGGTGGGAGCCCCTGTCTCCCCTTCCCATGTGTTTGTGGGGCCGTCATGGAGGAGGAGATGTGCTCGGTCTGGCAGGTTTTTTAAGAAAGAAGAAAATATTGACTGTATAACTGACCGTCCAACATGTGAGAGTTTACAGCTGTGGATTCCCATTTGGTGGGAGGTTTTCTCTTCTTGACACCGTTGCCCTCAAAAGAAGCCTCAGGAGGTTGTGTCCCCTCCTCAGCACCTCCTGCAGAGTTGGCAGCTTGTCCTATTCCCTGCCTGCCGTGGATCCCTCCCTCCCTCCAGATTCTGCTGTTTCCCAGAGGAAACCCTTGGGGTTGTACTTCTGCCTCGATGGGCAGGAGATTGGCACCACCATTTGTCACCACCATTTCTTGTGTCTTTGTGAAAAAGAGATTTCTCAAATCTCATAAATACTTGGCCCACTGGCCACCAAATGGTTCCATGTGGGACATGTGCTTGGGAATGGCTCTGAGTGGTCACCTGGATTGTCACTGCCAGCTCAGCAGAGTCTCTCACATGTAGGAGCAGGCAGGAAAGCAGTCACAGAGTGATAGAAGCGTGGAATATCCCGAGCTGGAAGGGACCCACGGGGCTCATCCATCCAACTCCTGGCCCTGCACAGACACACCAACAATCCCACCCTGTGTGGAGCTCTGGCAGCCTTGGGGCCGTGCCCATTCCCTGGGGAGCCTGGGCAGTGCCAGCACCCTCTGGGGGAAGAACCTTCCCTGATTTCCAGCCTGGCACAGCTCCAGCCATTCCCTGGATCCTGTCCCTGTCCCAGAGAGCAGAGCTTGGGGCTGCCCTGGGCAGGAGCTGCAGCCCCCAGGGAGGTCTGACCTCAGTGTGCTCTGCTTCAGCTGAACAAACCAAGTGATTTCAGCCAGCCCCTATGTGACCCTCCAGACCTTCACCATCATCTCCTTTGAAAGCTTTGTAACACCTATTAGATGTAGAAGAGTATTAAGACATTATTACAATTAAAGAGTTGAGGCCAAAAGAGGAACACCAAGAATTAAGACAGAATCCCTGGCAGTAATTTTACAGAAAATCTGATGATTAAACTTGAGGATGATGGGTAGTGCTGAAGTTTCCACTGCAATGGAAAAAGCTCTGTGCTCACCTGCTGAACACGTGGGGACTGCCAGCAAAGGAAGCAGGAGTGGTGCAAGAGAGGGCTGTAGGAGCTGGGTGAGAACCCTTGGATGTGTGACATGCTCCTGCTTTCAGGCTAAACACCTACCTGAAGTATGTGCTGGTGTCAGGTGGCCCTGGATGAGGGCAGGGCATGGGGACACAGATTAGGAGCTGTGGCACAACAGCCTTACTGGAAAGGAACTGGGAAGGGTGGCAGGCCCCAAGCTGGACACGAGCCAACAATGTGCTCTCCCTGCAAGGATGGAGAACCCCAGCCTGAGCCACAGGAGCAGGCAAGGAGCCACCTGGCTGTTGTCACCCCTGTCAAGAGAGGTGACATCTGCATCCTATATCCAGCCTGGAGTGCCTGGTGAGAGGGATGTGAAGATGATCCACAGGGCTGTCAGTGACCCTGCAGCAGGAGGTGGATGGAGCTGAGTTTGCTGGGTCTGGCCATGCAGTGAAATTCAAAGGACTCTCTTGATCCTGATGCCTTGTGAAGGCTGACCTGGAACAGAGACTAGATGGAGCTAAAGAATAAAGTAGGGATTTAGTAAGAGGCCTCAGTGGATACACCTTGGGCAGCACAACCTAAATGGCCACAAAAAAACGCACGACTGGTCACTGGGTCTCTCACTTTGATCAGTTCTGCTCCATTTGCATATTGGAGTTAATTGTCCAATTATTGCTTTAGCTTATGAAGTCCCATCCTTTTTGTTTTTCTCTCTTCAGCCCACGTTGTTTGTGCTCTTGGGCCTGAGATTTGGATCAGCTGTCCTTGGTCCCCAGCTGGAGAAGAAATTGTTTTGTCTCCTTGCTCTGTGCAGAGAACCACCATCCCTTAATGTGGAGCTCAGACCCACACTAAAGCAGCAGAGAATCAGAAACATATAAAAGCTAAACCTGAGGCACCAATCCCATTCAGTCCCTGCAGTGGTGGTGCTTCAGCAGGACTGCACATGACCCTCAGCAGGCTGGAGCATCTTGTAAGACCCATGGCAATGTCCTGCTCTCCACGTGCTACAGGACTCTCTTGGGTGCAGCCTTCATCTTGCCCCTTCCAGTGTGTCCAGATGAGTGTGAGCAGAGCTGCTCTGCCCTTTTCCTGGAGTGTAGATTTCCATGCCCTGTTTCCTCAGAAGGTGAGGAAACAGAACATGGAACCGGTGTCTTACTCTGTGCAGTGTGGCTTCAGTACCCCAAAAACAAAGTCACCCTTCACCTCCAAACCTCTAAATTACAAACTCCCGTTCTAGTGTGTGTTTATAGAAGTGGGACAAACTGACAGATCTAGGTGCATGCCTTGGACACATCTCAGGCTGACAGAAGACACCTTTCCCTACTGACCTTTCACTGCAATTTCCACAGCAAAACAATCTAGGAAGGAAGGGCAGGAGGCAGCCTCAGCCCTGGCACGTGTGATGGAGAGGGATAATTCTCCCCGTTGGCATGACACTTGTAGGATAAGGCTCTTAGGTACTCCTCATACCTTCCTGTAAGGGTGTGAAGAACGAGGATGTCGTGGTGGGCTGGCACAGCTCCACCCCCCACCCCAAAGTGGGGCAGGTGGAGGGAACTGGAAGAGCAAAAGTGAAAAACTGGGTCGAGGGATAGACAAGGTACACAGTGTTGCTACGGCAACTTGGCTGGGTCCCATCCCTGTGCTATGAGGAAAGGGAACTCCATCCAGCCTGACCCAGTACAGATGTTTTCAGTCCGTTGCCTGGGATTTAATCTCCATCTCACACGTGGCATCTTTGTATAACAAGAAACATCATCATTTCTAAACCACAACTACGGGAAGTCCACTTTAGATCTTGATCTTTCCTTGCAATAACTTAATTATGTCTGTTGTAATAAATAAATAAAACCACCATTGAAATGGGAAGCTGGAAACTTTCTTCAGCAATACCAATTAAACCACTTTATCAATGGAAATCACCTCCAAACATCCACAGTCATTTGACTCTGCCTAAACAATATTTAACCAGCCTCCACAAACAAATTCTGGGCAATTGCACTTTCTAAACTGTTGTGTTACCTAACAATTTATATGTTCTGTATCCCAGGGTGTTTACACTTGCCACCCCACCCTGCAGCCAGTTCAAATAGGGCTGTCTCCAGAGGGGCGCAGAGCACTGCTCCATGCACCAGCCAGGGGTGAGAACCCGTCCTCTGGCACTGCCCTGTGCCACATCTCCATCTCCTCCGGGCTGGGCATCCCTTCCCTGCACTGCCCATCCTCTCCAGGGGCTGACATGTCCCTGTCTCCTCCTGCAGAAGCTGTGCCACCTCTCAGCTGGGCTGGCTGCCTTCCCTTCTGCACAGGTGAGTGTGGGAAAAGCGTGGCTAGAGCCTGGACAGGTGAGTGTGGGAAAAGCACGGCTAGAGCCGGGTCTAAACGTGCCTGTGAATGGCACTTCCAGCCCATGCTTGCCTCAGAACAGGGGACCAAAACCTGATTTGCTGGGTTGGTTCTAGAGGTTTGTCCAGCCCAGTTTTTCTTGTGGTGTCCAAAGTTACAGCTGTTGGAGGGAGCAGTCCTGCCCAGACCTTTCAGTACCTGTTTGTGATGCCTCCTGCCCATAGCTGTGTGCAAAACCTGCTGTTCCCATCAGCCTCCCACACCTCCTGTGGCAGCTGCACTCTCCAGCACATTGAGTGAGGGGTTTTTCAAGCTGTGTAAAACCCAGTATCACTAAGGGATGTCTAGATCTGCTGGAAGATACATCTGTTCCCATTCTACATATAGATTTGCACATCAGAATGTCCTTCTCTGAGTTCAATGTAATCAGTTCTTGTCTTTTACACCATGCTCAAGGAGAAGGGCAAGCAGTTAGAGATTTCCTTCTTGTGATTTTATTTCTATTTAGGGAAGGAAGGCAGTGCTGGATCTTGTTCATCCTCCCTCTCCCTCCTGGGGAGGTTTGGGCAGTGATGTCAAGAGGTGATGGGACAGAGCTGTCCCTTTCCTGGAAGAGAGACTGCAGCATGGGCACGGACAGGACAAGCAGCACCTTACATCCTCTGTGTGTTGGAATGGCTCAGTGGAGGTCTGAGCAACCCCAGGGGGTTGGAATGAGAGAGGCTTTAAGGTCCCTCCCAGCCCAAACCATTCTGTGATTCTGTGATTTTAACCTCTTGCAGTCCCCAGTGGTTTGTACAGCACTGCAAGGGTTGTTGCCTCACCTCTTACAGGAATTCCTGAACGTCTGCCCCACCTCCCTGGCAATATCCCTGCTGAGATGTGTTCCCTGAGCCACCCCGTGTGCATTAAGGCTATTAAGTGGTCATCCAGGCCGCCAGGCTAAGGCTGAGTCTTACCTGGGGTGTTTGCTTTCCCTGGCACTGACTCTGTGGGTGTGCTGTTCCAGGCACAGCGAGGATGTGGCTGGCTCTAGCTCTGCTGTCTGTGGTGTTCTGCGGGATGGCATCCGGGGAATGCTTCTTGAATTCCCAATCTCCTAAGAATCCAGAGGCAGGGATGAACATTGTAAGTATGATGGCATGGGAAAGGAGGTGGGAACTGTCCAGCAAACAGCCACCATTAAATAATTACAGTGAATTATCACATTCAGAGATTTCCTTGCCAGAGCCTTGAAAACGTTATTATTTATGGGAATAAATCACACGGAACTCCATTTTCTTCATGGTGGAAAAAAGGCTATTCTTTATTCACATAACTCCTTTTTATACAGTTTTACAGACCTCCTGTGTGACTCCAATTGGTCAATAGCTTTCTTGCCAATTACTTTATTGGCTATTAACAAGTTGTTATTGGTCACTCAAACTCTCAGTGTGTACGTGCAAGGAAGTTGTTTGTGAGACTGTTTTCATTTTTCTATCTAACAGTGCAAAACCAGTTTATACACATGCTGGTTGGGTTTTTTTTACCCAGGAATAGATTGTTATGTTAACTAACTGCTCACACCAGGATTGCTTTCACATGGGAACTTGCAAAGTGCTGGCTTTGACAAGGCCAGCCACTGATTCCAGGAGAGCAGGCTTGATTTTCATGAAGCCTTTCTCTATGATTTTTCTACCTTACTGCAACAATTATTGGCTTTCTTCTTGTTGCAGAGTGAAATGATCTCGTTCTGGGGATACCCCAGTGAGGAGTATGATGTGGTGACAGAAGATGGTTACATCCTTCAGCTGAACAGAATTCCTCACGGGAGAGAAAATACTGGGTGCCAAGGTAAAACTGGTGCCATACAGGACACACACACGCCTTGAACCATTCACTGGGGTACCAGGACTTGTGCAAGAGGGTTTTCAAAGCTCCCTGTGGCTTGGCATCAGTTTTGATAAATCAGAATTTGTCAGGAAGGCTGATCCCTTGCCAGGGGTGTTTCCTCACCCTCCATGGACCCCTGAGCACTGAATGTTTGGCTGCAATCCCTGGTGACACACCTTGGGTTCTCTCCAGAGCCTGGCTCCCAGAATGTGCTCCTGGATCAGCAGATTGGTTTGGTACTGCCTGAGGAGCCTCCAGGGGATCCTGTTGTCCTGTGAGGAGGAGTTAGATCCATGAAAATTGCATTTTTCCTATCACATCCCTAGGCTCCTCCATGTTTGCCTGCAGAGCTCCCTGGCAGCCCAAGTTCTGCCAACACCCCCAGAGATTTTGGGGATAAAGTCCAAGATAATGGTGCATTTTAAAATGAAATCTAGAGCAACACTGACACAAACCTCCACAGATTTTGGCTGCCATGGGGATAACACTTCATAAACGGCCTCAAAAGGTGACAAACAGCATCAAAAATAAGGAGAGTCAGCATGCTGCCTGTCTTGCAGGTGTGAGACCCGTGGCACTGCTGCAGCATGGTCTCCTTGCAGAAGGCAGCACCTGGCTCACCAACTTGGCCAACAGCAGCCTGGGCTTCATCCTGGCAGATGCTGGCTACGATGTCTGGATAGGAAACAGCAGAGGGAACACCTGGTCCAGGAGACACCAGGTGCTCACTACCACACAGGATGAATTCTGGGCTTTCAGGTAAATGGGTTTCAGGGGCTCAGAAACAGCTGAATTCTGTCAGGGTCGCGCTGCCCTAGCTGGGGGATGAGTGAACCAGGCTGGACTGAAGCTCATCCAGCTTATTTTGAGTGTAAACCCCATGTGAAAACTCAGTGGGATGAAGAAATCTGTGGGCTGGCCCTGCCCTCCCTGCTGGTTTTGTGGCTTGCTGGTGGTGGCTGTGCACGGGCAGCTGCTGCCCCTCTCAGCAGGATGTCTGCTCTTCCTCCTGCAGCTTCGATGAGATGGCTAGATACGATCTCCCAGCCATGATCAGCTTTATTGAGCAGAAAACAGGACAGAAACAGCTCTATTATATTGGCCATTCCCAAGGCACCACTATAGGTGAGTGGGTCCTTCTGATGACAGCACGAGAAGTCTACATCCCCTCTCAGATTTGTAAAATTACTAATTGAAATTAAACTATGTGCATGAGTGTCTTGAAAGACTAAACCATTTTTTCCCCTACTGTTTTACCCCCCCTAGGTTTTATAGCCTTTTCCACTATGCCTCAGCTGGCTCAGAAAATCAAGGTGTTCCTTGCTCTTTCACCTGTGACCACGGTGATATTTTCTCGGAGCCCCTTTACAAAACTCTCATTCTTTTCTGACTCTGGCATTAAGGTTGGTCTGCACTATGTTCTGTACAGCCAAAATGGTTTTCATAGCGATTGTGAAATTTTCTGTGGAGTATTTCAAGTCATTTACAGAGAGAGGAGCTCTGTGCTCTGTCTGTTTTCATAATGAAGAAAAACACATCTCATTACAGAACCTTTCAGTCCTGTCCTGAATTCAGTGCCCAAAATGTTCCGGCAGAATTAGATCCAAAACGTTGGTGAATAAAACTGATGCAGAGGCTGTGAATTGAGCCCTACCATTTAACACAAGATCATTAATGAATGTAAGAGATCACACCCATAAGAAACAAGGAGCAGAAGCATTTAACAGGGTGCAAGGGAGGCTTCACTATGGGCAACCTTAATGTGGGGATAAAATAGAAGATGTAAAGTGGTGGTGCTCTGGGGAAAAGTGTGACCAGACTTCCAATTTGGTGAAGACATTTGGGATTTTACAGGAGCTGTTTGGCACCAGGGAGTTCCTACCCCACACTGCCTTGGGGGAGCACATCCTCACCAGGTTCTGTGTCTGCTCCAAGGTCTGCAAGCACATCTTGGCTACAGTTTTCGGGTTTAACTGGAAGAACACAAACATGGTACGTGGGAATGAATCTGCAGAGGGTCCTTCTGAAAGCCAAAGCCTTGGCAATGCCCTGTTTTGCAGAGCCAGGTGAATGCTGTGAGATGTGAAATGTGCTCATGTTCTTGCAGAGCCGATTCGACGTGTACATGGGACACATGCCAGCGGGGTCCTCGGTCCAGAACATCATCCACTGGGTGCAGGTAAACCTTCCCAGCCCCCTCCTGTGCCCAGCAGAGTGTCCCTGGTCCCTTGCTGTGCAGCTTGCTGCGAGACACACCTTTGCCAGATCTCTGTTGGTTTTGTTTTCACCCCTCCCCAAAACGCTCGGCAGGTTTTGGAGCTGAGCAGCCCCAAAGGAGTGGATCTGTCAGGAGGAACCTGTGGAGCTGAGGACCCTGCATCCACAGCAGGGCTCTTATTTCAAACCAGCTTCACTCTTGCCCTGCAGCCCGAGTGCCATTAGTGGTCAGGCTGTGGCAGAGGTGCATCTGGACAGCAGCTGTTTAAGCTTATTACCAGTAAAGCTGATTATTTCTCCTCCTTCCCCTTGTGGGCATGAGAACACCCCCAGAGCCCTTTGACACTGTAGTTGTGTTCTGCTGCATTCCTTTTCTCTTCCCCAAGCTAACAATCTGCACATTTTTCTGTAGACTGCAGACTCAGTCTGTGTACCTTCTGTGAGGTGTGTGCCACAGGCTGTGCTCAGGGCACAGCTTCTTCCCTGTGTGGAATTCCTGCTCAGGGACCCCAGAAGGACTTTGTGGGGTTTGCAGCAAGAACACACACTTCATTTGCTCAAGTGCTGCTGCCCACTGAAGGGCTCGAGCCACCCTGACCTGGTATTGCTGATAGTCCCATTCCTGTTAGACAAGAGATGTTCAGAGGCTCCTTCCATCTTTGGTTGTGCCATTTCAGGCCAACTCACCAGCCCACAAGGAATATTTAGAGTTCTAAACCCATTTTCCAGACAAGTTTAATTTCTTCCCATCCTGGTGTTATCCACAAACATTAGGAACATAAACCATTTGCCCATTTGTCCAAAATCATGACCAGAATTACTTGTGCTTGAAAAATCCTGCCAGTTCAGTGATGAAAACTAACTTTTGAGGGTTGACTTTTGAGGGTTGACTGCATCCCCAGAGAACTGTGATTTCACTCAGAGCACTGCATGTCTGAATTTGCTGCAGGGAGTCCATGGTGGGGCACTGAGAGCTTTTGATGGGGGGCACATGTACAACAGCCTTCACTACAGACAGGTGAGGTGCTGGCAGTGGCCTTCCCTTTCCCTTTTTTCTTCCCGTGCATGTCTGCTGGGCCTCCCCTTCATGTATTTCTCCCTTCATAAACTGGAAGTCAGGATCTCTGCTTGCAACAACAGCATTTTCCATTCTCAACTCTGTTTTGCAAATGCCTTGTAAATGGAATAAAATGCTTTAAATTAGAGGCTTTCCATTTTCCATAGGATAAGAGGAAATGGTCTCAAGTTACAGCAGGCTGAATAGTAGGAAAAATTTCTTCTCTGAAATAGTGGTTAAGCCCTGGAACAGGAAAAAAAAAAAAAAAAAAAGCTTCTTCAACAAAAGAAGAACAATTCAGAAGGCAGTGTGCTTCTCAACTGGATTAATTACACTGCAAGTAATGAGAGATGTTGTTGATAAATCACCTCATGGCAAGTCCTCAGGGTGTGAAGCTGAGACAAACCCTCCAAAAACGTTTTGATTTCAAAAATTTGCTCCCAAACATCTCCCTGCTGTCACTGAAGGAAGTGCTGGTGAAGTGTCACCACAAAGCCCACAAAGGCTGGGAGGGATTTGTGGAGGTCAGGATGATCCAACAGCACTAAGTCAGGGCAGCCGAAGTTCTGCCTCCTTATCCTAACCATTTGTAGATTCAGAACTAGAATTTCTAGCTGGGCAGAACAAATTCTCTAATCAATTTTAATTAAATTAACTCACTACATCGTAGCATGTAAAGCTATGCTGCATCTCTACTGAAGTTCCTCTGCTTTCAAGAAAAAGGAGTTCCAGTTTTCATTTCCCCCCCATTCCCAAAGATTAGCAATGGTGCACAATTTGTTGCAGTCCAGCAATGTCTCCTCCTTGTGAAGCCCCTTTTCCATCTGCTCCTTGTAAAGTCCCTTTTCCATCTCCTTTTTGTGAAGCCCCTTTTCCCTCTCCACTTTGTGAATCCCCTTTTCCCTCTCCAATTTTTGAAGCCCCTTCTCCATCTCCACTTTGTGAAACCCCTTTTCCATCTCCTCCTTTGAAGCCACTTTTCCATCTGCTCCTTATGAAGCTCCTTTTCCGTCTCCACTTTCTGAAGCCCCTTTCCCCCTCTACTTTGTGAAGCCCCTATTCCCTCTCCTTTTTGTGAAACCTCTTTTCCATCTCCTCTTTGGGAAGCCCTTTTTTCATCTTCAATTTGTGAAGCCCTTTTTCCATCTCTTCTTTGTAAAGACCCTTTCCCATCTCCACTTAGTGAATCCCCTTTTCCATCCCCACTTTACAAAGCCCCTTTCCCATCCCCACTTTGTGAAACCCCTTTTCCCATCTCCACTTTATTAATCCCCTTTTCCCATCCCCACTTTGTGAAGCCCCTTTTCCCTCTCCACTTTATGAATCCCCTTTCCCATCTCCACTTTATGAATCCCCTTTTCCATCCCCACTTTACGAAGCCCCTTTTCCATCCCCACTTTACGAAGCCCCTTTTCCATCCCCACTTTACGAAGCCCCTTTTCCATCCCCACTTTACGAAGCCCCTTTTCCATCTCCACTTTACAAAGCCCCTTTCCCATCCCCACTTTACGAAGCCCCTTTTCCCATCCCCACTTTATGAATCCCCTTTTCCCATCCCCACTTTATGGATCCCGTTTTCCCCTGCTCTTTGTGAACCCCTTTTTGCTCTCTCAGGTCGGGGCTCCGTTCTACGACGTGCAGCACATGGAGGTGCCCACGGCCGTCTGGAACGGGGGCCGGGACTGCCTGGCCGACCCCCGGGACACCGCCATCCTCCTGCCCCAGGTCAAGAACCTGGTCCACCACAAGCTGATCCCCCACTGGAACCACATGGATTTCCTGCTGGGCCTCGATGCCACCGAGGTTTTGTACCGGGAAATCCTTGACATCATGAAGAAGCATCCCTAGAGATGCTGGTTGTACTTGATACTTTTATTTTTTTTATTGTCATCTCTAGAGGATTTTGAAATTTCTCTCTATTTGGATCACCTGAATATAGTTGATTAAAATGTTCTGCTTTGAACTGGAGCAGAGACAGGGTGGGGAGAGGAGCCTTCATGCTATTCCTGACTGGCACTACATTGCCTTTCTTTTTCCACTTGCTTTCCATATTTTTCCTTTTTGTTTTTTTAAATTTTGTTTGGTTTGTTTTGTTTTTTTTCTTTCTTTTTTAGTTTTGTTTGTTTGTTTGTTTGTTTTGGTGTTTTTGCTTGTTTGTTTTGCTTTGGGGTTTCTTTTGGTTTTTGGGGGTTTTTTGTGCCTTCATCAGTGACACAAAGCTCATTGTTGCTGTGTCAGTTCTGACACTGTTACGCTTAAAACAATCAAGGAGGATCAGAAAGAGACCCAACAGATCTGTGGTGAAAACCACCAGAATTAGGATCCCAGAATGTTTTGGATGGGAAGGGACCTTACAGCCCATCCACCTCCCACTGTCCCAGGCTGCTCCAAGCCCTGTCCAGCCTGGCCTTGGGCACTGCCAGGGATCCAGGGGCAGCCCCAGCTGCTCTGGGCACCCTGTGCCAGGGCCTGCCCACCCTGCCAGGGAACAATTCCTAATTCCCAAAATGCCATCCATCCCTGCCCTCTGGCACTGGGAGCCATTCCCTGTGTCCTGTCCCTCCATCCCTTGTAAATAGTTCCTTTCCATCATTCTCCCTTCAGGTACTGGAAGGACATCTCCCTATAGAAAAAGCAGTACTAGTGGTTTTGAATTCAATAAAAATTGTAATTAATCACACTTTTAATGTGGCTGGGTTTGGGCATTATTTTTTTTTCTTTCAGTGACTGAAATCCTGAAGAGAAATTACAAGTCAGACAGCCCAGTGTGTGATTCTGATGCAGAATGTATAAAATCCAAATAAAAAGGAGCTTGGGGCATCCCCAAAGTGCTTATCTTAAGGTTTATCTCTGAGGTTTTGGTAATAGGACTGAGTGGTGATCCCAGAGGTGCCATGATGTGATCATAATTATTTTCTTTAGCCTGAAGGAAGGGCTGTTATTTTACAGCAATAAAAGATTTGGCTGTTTCTGTCAGCCAAAATTCGAGGCCCATCAGAACATCTCGATAAATGTGTCATTGGTGCAAGCACCAGAAGAATCAGCTTCTTTCAGGGAGAGAGAATCCAGCTGTGAAGCAAAGCAATATTTCGGGGAGAAATTACTTAAAATCATACACTGGAGCTCGATCAGACTTTCAGTCTGTCGTGCTTCATTTAAAATTCCCTGCAAGATCTCCATCACCCTGAAAAGCAGAGTAGATCAGGCAGAGGATTGGGGGAGGCCAGGAAATAAATCTGGGGGAGAGCAGCCATTCCAAGTGTTGCTTTGAGTATTATATTATTATATTATATTATATTATATTATATTATATTATATTATATTATATTATATTATATTATATTATATTATATCATTATATTATAATATAATATAGACCAATATATATGATACATTATTATTATATTATATATTATAATATAATATATAGGATATATAAAAATATATATTGTTTATAATTATACTTAAATAGGATATATAAATATATCATGTTATTAATATGCATTAATATATAATATATATTAATACATCTATTAATATAATATATATTCATATACTATATGATATATTAGATACAGTTTATAATATAATATTTTAATATATATTATATAGTACAATACATTATAATATAGAATATATTATATAATATATAGTATATTGTATCTTCTATAATATTATATTTTAGTAATATTTGTTTTTATATATATTATATATTATATATTATATATTATATATTATATATTATATATTATATATTATATATTATATATTATAATATATTGTCATATAATGTATAGTGTATATATAATATAATTATAATTATATATTATATGAAAACATAAAATATAATTAATATGTATTAATATATATCATCTACCTGTTAATACAATATATATTATTATAATATAATACATAATCATAATTTTTATATCGTGTACTATGTATTATATGCATTATATTAATATAGTCTATTCTAATATTGTACTGTATATTGTATAGTACAATATATTATAATATATTTTATGTTATGTTATGTTATGTTATGTTATGTTATGTTATGTTATATTATGATGTTACGTTACGTTACGTTACGTTACATTACATTACATTATATTATATTATATTATATTATATTATATTATATTATATTATATTATATTATATATATTATATATATTATATGATTTATACTCTTGGTGTATAACTATATAACAGAATTCCTGGCTGTAATTTGCTTGGCAGAAGTGAAGCACTGAGATTCCTCCCTGCTGCTGGCTGTCCTTGTGCTGGCCTTGCTGACCCTGCAGTGGCCTTTGGGGAGAACTTCCCAGGGGGACTCTGAGCCACGACGTGTTTGGCTTGGAGAAAATCTGTCCTCCTGCTTACCTCAGCATCCTGTCCCAGCCTTTCTCCTCTGGAGGGCAAAGCCAGGAAGCAAAATGAACATTTAATGGCATTTAGTTGAGAAAAGAAGCTTGCATTCGTTACAGTTTCCTGGAGTATCACGTTGGTTGCAGTGAATAATTCATGATTTAGTTCTTTTTCCCACAGTATGAACTTCCACCTCATTCCGAGAAGCTTTCTGTAAAATTGTCCTTTTAGATAATGCTCTTCACCTAATCTATTTATTTAGTTTGTTCAAGACCATCCATTTCCAGTAAATTCTCTTCTCTCTGCTAAGAAAATTGCTTGTAAATTTTATCGGATGATCAGATTATTGGATTTAGTTATTGTTTGCTTTTCTATCTTTAAGAAATTATCTAAGCATCTTTCTGTAGTACAAATTCTTGCATAAATTAATCCTGTTTAAACACATCTTTTTTTTTTTTTTTTAAGTCTCTCGCCAGTTCTGCAGAAACAATTTGCCCAAAGCCAAAAAACCCCCCAAATTTAAAAATGCAGCTTCACTTGTTATTTTGCCATGGGGACAAAAGGGTTTTTCCTTGATTGCTTTGATTGCTTTGTTTTTTGTTTTTTTGTTTTTTTTTTTTCTCTGCCTAAGTATTTTCTTTCACTTTCAAAACTCTGAAACAAAGCTGTGACCCAAATCCTGGCTGAAATGAAAATAAATCAGCTGCCAGCAGCAGGAGACGTTTGCAGGTGAGACTCGTGGCACATGGCAGGACCCAGAAGGTGTAGAAATAAATGAGTGAAGAAGCTCCAGATCATCCCCTGGGGTCAAGAGGGTGCAGAGGGGTGACACAGCATCCCTGCTCCCAGCGGGCACCCAAGCAGCAGGGAAACACCAAAAATCCCAAATTCCCAGTCAGGGTTTTCCTGTGCGCTGTTGCCCACTGGTGCCTGGCACCCTGATGGTCCCATCCCAGCTGGAGGGGCCCTGGCCTCTCCCCACCACTGCTCCTGTGACAGGTCCTGTGCCACTGCCACCATGGGCTGCCACCCTGCTCCTGCCAGCTCCCAGTCTGCCCAGCTGTCCCTTGCTGGGAGCACTGGGAAGGCAGCAGGGACCTCAGGGGACATTGGCACTGCCCTGAGGCCATCACCACCCTGCACAGGGAGAGGATATTCCATGTTCCCTGTCATTCCATGGCCCCTGTCATTCCATGGCCCCTGCCATTCCATGTCCCCTGCCATTCCATTGTCCCCTGTCATCCTATGTCCCCTGTCATCCCATGTCCCCTGACATTCCATTGTCCCCTGTCATCCTATGTGCCCTGTCATTCCATTGTCCCCCTGCCATTCCATTGTCCCCCTGCCATTCCATGTCCCCTGTCATCCTATGTCCCCTGCCATTCCATGTCCTCTGCCATTCCATGGCCCCTGTCATTCCATGGCCCCTGCCATTCCATTGTCCCCTGTCATCCTATGTCCCCTGCCATTCCATTGTCCCCTGTCATTCCATGTCCCCTGACATTCCATGGCCCCTGTCATTCCATGGCCCCATCATTCCATTGTCCCCTGTCATTCCATGAGGACATTCCATTATCCTCCTGCCATTCCATTATCCTCCTGCCATTCCATTGTCCCCTGCCATGCCATTGTCACCTTGTCATTCCATTGTCCCCTGTCATTCCATGTCCCCTTGTCATTCCATTGTCCCCAGTCATTCCATTGTCCCCCTGCCATTCCATTGTCTCCTGTCATTCCATTGTCCCCAGTCATTCCATGTCCCTTTGTCATTCCATTGTCCCCAGTCATTCCATTGTCCCCCTGCCATTCCATGTCCCCTGCCATTCCCTGCTGTCCTGGTGGGAAAGGGTGACGGGGGCCATGCCATGCCAGACTCCCCAGCCTGCTGAGTCAGCACGTTTGTCCCCTGGCTGGCAGGTGAACATGTCCCCAAATAAAAGGCTAAATAAATAAATAAACAAACAAAGAGCCTTTTGCTACCGGGCTGGTGGGCTCCTGGGACAACAAGCCAGGTCTGATGTGGCACCAGTGACAGCCAGACCTGCTGGCCCTGGGCTGCTGAGCTCCACTGATTCAGTGAGCAGGTTGATTCTTTTGTGAAAGGGCTGGGAAGCAATATAAAATAGTGGCCAGGACTCCAGATCCTCACAGTTTTGTGGGTGGAATAACAGGAGCCTGGCTTTCTTTCACTTGGAAAATGTTCTCCAAGGTGTTGTTTGAAGGTGCAGCCTTGAACACAGATGTGACCCACCCTCATCAGCCTCAGCATTGTGTTGCAAATCACTGGCAACAGCCTCCAACCCCGTGTGCCAACTCCTGTCAACCTGCTATTAGGCAATCTATTGACAGATTGACTTCAATCCTTCTCCTTTCCCTCTCCAGATGCAGGGCAGGGGCTGGAATATCTTTGCAGAGCCCTGGGTGGGCTCAGCGTTGTGCAGAGACCCCAGCGTGGCTGGTGCTGGTGAGGTGCTGGT